GGGCTCCAGCTCGATCAAACACTCTGAAACAGCAACAAACACACAGCTGAAGGCATTTACTGAAACTTCCGTCTCTGACATCGTCCGAATGTCTCGTTTACGCGCTTTACGGTTTGTAACTCGATTTTTTGCTTGAAACAAAAGTTGCTTTACATCCAGGGCCTTGTTTGTGATGAAAGACCTCTCCATTAGATGGAGCTCGGAAGTAACGACAATCTTTTGTTTTGTTTGTTTGAAAGTTTAAGCTAGAAGTCGGTTTTTCCTCATTTACTTAAGAAAATCTTTACCCACATCGCTGGCATCATTTTTCCTTATGACGGAGACGTAATCACATCCAGGTAAAGTAATTGTGTTTACTCCACAAGCTTTTAAAATTAAATGCTAACCGCTCTCTAACACACACACACACACATAGATGTGTGTAAATGAAATATTAAAATACTGTGTGTGTGTGTAAATCTGTTGCAGAAGATGGGAGGAGGCTGGTATGAAGGCAGACAGCTGTGCTCCCTGGTGGGACCGTACTTTCTAGACCACTACTACCGTTAACAGGCATGACGTTTCTCAATGAAAAAATTACTCTGTCATATTATCAGCATCTTCTTTTTGCTCGTCTCAGAATTTGCCTTAGTGATGTGAAGGCCATGGAGTGAGCCAGCCTAGCAAACCCTGTTGAAGCAGTGGTCAGTGAGAGGACGCATCCTAAAGCACTCTCTGCAGACCGCCCTGTGTGACGTTTCAGGGTATCTGCAGATTTAAGGGAGCCAAATTTAAGACTTTTTAAGGCCACTTTGACCAAATTTAAGCTTTTTTTTTTTTAAATTAAATTTAAGCTATTATTTCCAGCTATTGCCTGGAACCGGTGCTAACCACGCCGTGAATGTGGGATTAGCCATCCAGTTACCATTAATGTTGCCATGTCTTCCCCATGGCGCAAACTCCCACTAGCGTGCTCATCTAAAAATAGCCCCTTTCACAACCAACCAAATGTGTACAGTTCCGCTTACGCCAGTATCGTACACAAAAAATGCCAAACTAACTAGAAATTCACGAAAATTTTATAGAAATAAAAGAATCTTGTTTATTGGGTCTTTGGTAATTTAAGACCTTTGGAAATTATTTAAGGATTATTTGTTATTTTTAAGGATTTTTAAGGCCTTAAATTCGGAAAAGCTAATTTAAGACTTTTTAAGGACCTGCAGATACCCTGCGTTTCACCCTTTGACGAGAAAAACCCAGCCACAGGTTTCAGTTCCAGCACACCACCCGTGTCTGGGATCGGTAAAATGCTCCTTTAGTAACACCCTTACATTATTTCATGTTTTAGTAGTTATGCGCAACTTTTTAGTTGTCCTGCAAAGTTAGTGAATCAGACTACTTCATTTACAGCTTCTACCCACAGGCTAATCTGGATATGTATTATATTTCATATAAAGTATACTTATATTGCGCACATCACTGGAAAACAAATGGAAAATGCAAATGTATAGAATATTATAGTATTGTTATATTGAATATCACTGTTTAAATTAAACAATAAATTAATGAATTTGTGGACTGCTAGCTTAGCATACCCACGCTAACCGGACTGCAAAGGATTTCCTCATCATGCATCATGTCACATACAGAATTGTTGCTGCTAAAGGTTTTCTATTCTATAACCCTGTTTGACATTTTCTTGGTGGACTCATGACGCTTCTTGGGTACCACCATCACACAGGACCTCAAACGCAGTAGCCCACCACCACTTCCATCATTAAAAAGCCCTAGCAGAGGGCGTACTTCCTGAAGCAGCTGATAAAATTCAGCCTGGCAGCACAGTTGACGAGGCAGTTCTACACCGCAGTCATCGAGTCCATCGTCACCTCTTCAGTCACTGTGTGGTACGCTGGAGCTACCACCAGGGACAAGAAGATACTGCTTTGTGTTGCACGCTCTGCTGAGAAGGTCATTGGCTGCAAACTCCCCCTGACACAGGAAATATACACCTCCAGGGTATTGAGGCGCGCAGGTCAGCTGACCCGCCTTAGACTGGACAGTGTTTTCGACTTGCCTCCATCTGGCAGGAGGCTCAGATCCATTTGGACCAGAACCTCTCACCAAAAGAACTTTTTTTTCTCCTCTGCAGTTGGACTTGTAGGACTTCCCACTCCAGTCGCTTTGTTTCAGTCACATGACCCTTTGTTATGTTTGTACCTGAACCGCTCTGATCAGTACCTACACCGACTTGTATATATATAAGCTATTTAATAATAATAATAATAATAAATTTTATTTAAAAGCGCCTTTCAGAACACCCAAGGTCACTTGACAGAAAATACTTAATAAAAGACAATAAAACAATAATACAGGTGCTGGCCAGTAAATTAGAATATCATCAAAAGGTTGAAAATATTTCAGTAATTCCATTCAAAACGTGAAACTTGTACATTATATTCATGCAATGCACACAGACCAATGTATTTCCAATGTTCATTACATTTAAATTTGATATTCATAAGTGACAACTAATGAAAACTCCAAATTTGGTATCTCAAAAAATTAGAATATTCTGAAAAGGCTGAATATAGAAGACACCTGCTGCCACTCAAATCAGCTGATTTACTCAAAACACCTGCAAAGGCCTTTAAAAGGTCCCTCAGTCTTGTTTTGAAGGCACCACAATCATCGGGAAGACTTCTGACTTAACAGCTGTCCAAAAGACAATCATTGACACCTTGCACAAGGAGGGCAAGACACAAAAGGTGATTGCTAAAGAAGCTGGCTGTTCGCAGAGCTCTGTGTCCAAGCACATTAACAGACAGGCGAAGGGACGGAAAAAATGTGGTAGAAAAAAGTGTACAAGCTCTAGGGATAACCGCACCCTGCAGAGAATTGTGACGACAAACCCATTCAAAAATGTGGGGGAGATCCACAAAGAGTGGACTGCAGCTGGAGTCAGCGCTTCAAGAACCACCACGAGGAGACTCATGAAAGACATGGGATTCAGGTGTCGCATTCCGTGTGTCAAGCCACTCTTGAACAAGAAACAGCGCAAGAAGCGTCTCGCCTGGGCCAAGGACAAAAAGGACTGGACTGATGCTGAGTGGTCCAAAGTTATGTTTTCTGATGAAAGCAAGTTCTGCATTTCCTTTGGAAATCAAGGACCCAGAGTCTGGAGGAAGAGCGGAGAAGCACAGAATCCACGTTGCATGAGGTCCAGTGTAAAGTTTCCACCGTCAGTGATGGTGTGGGGTGCCATGTCATCTGCCGGTGTTGGCCCACTCTGTTTCCTGAGGTCCAGGGTCAATGCAGCCGTCTACCAGGAAGTTTTAGAGCACTTCATGCTTCCTGCTGCTGACCAACTTTATGGGGATGCAGACTTCACCTTTCAACAGGACTTGGCACCTGCACACAGTGCCAAAACCACCAGCACCTGGTTCAAGGACCATGGTATCCCTGTCCTTGATTGGCCAGCAAACTCGCCTGACCTTAACCCCATAGAAAATCTATGGGGTATTGTGAAGCGGAGGATGCAATACGCTAGACCCAACAATGCAGAGGAGCTGAAGACGACTATCAGAGCAACCTGGGCTCTCATAACACCTGAGCAGTGCCACAGACTGATCGAGTCCATGCCACGCCGCATTACTGCAGTTATTGAGGCAAAAGGAGCCCCGACTAAGTATTGAGTGCTATACATGCACATTCTTTTCATGTTCATTCTTTTCAGTTGGCCAACATTAGAGAAACAAACATTTTTTCATTGGCCTTTAGAATATTCTAATTTTCTGAGATACCAGATTTGATGTTTTCATTGGTTGTCACCTATAAATATCAAAATTAAACGTAATAAACATCGGAAATACATTGGTCTGTGTGCATTGCATGAATATAATGTACAAGTTTCACGTTTTGAATGGAATTACTGAAATATTTTCAACCTTTTGATGATATTCTAATTTACTGGCCAGCACCTGTAGAACCCAAACAAGAAAAAACAAAGAGAGAAACAGTTCAATAAAATCAGAGGTTGTAGGCAGATTTAAACATGTGTGTTTTGAGTTTTGATTGGAAAAGGGTAAAACTGTCGATGTTCCTGATGTCTGGGGGAAGTGAGTTCCAGAGACGGGGAGCAGAGCGGCTGAAAGCTCTGCTCCCCATGGTAGCGAGACGGGCAGAAGGAACCGCAAGATGGATGGAAGAAGAAGATCTGAGTGAACGGGATGGGGTGTGAATACTTATAAGGTCTGAGATATATGGAGGAGAGAGGTTGTGGAGTGCTTTGAAGGTATGAAGGAGAATTTTGAAGATGGACCTGAATTTGACTGGGAGCCAGTGAAGCTGCTGGAGAACCGGGGTGATGTGGTGAAAGGAAGGGGTTCTCTAATATTTCTCTTATTATTGCCACTTTATACGATTATTTTAACGTGATTTTTTTCTTATTCCTTATATTTTGAATACATCTGAAGATTTTTAAAAGAATATTTTCCCCTTTAACTGTTATTTTTTTCTTATATCTCGTTCCAGGAGGCTGTGCAACAACAACTACTGCAGAGTCAGATGGAACTAGTTCTGTTATCCACTCACAGCTCATCTCACTAAAAATGGCTGATTCCTAGAGCTGGTGCATCTTCTATCCGTCAACCAGAATGCCCAGTGAAGGCTCCAGGCTTGCTTAAGGATCTCTGCAAGCAATGGTGCATTGACTCCTTTGGCGAAGAGCAAAGTCGTCATCGTGACGTGTCAGTGCGGCTGGAATAGTTGTCAGGATGGTCCAGTTGTCTTGGATTGCAAGAAGAAAATATTCTGTTCCTGCTGCCTCACCCGTTGTCAACACCAATACCACAAGTTGGTAAGATGTTATAATAATTTATCCTCCACGATTCCTCACAGTAGCTCATAAATCAAATACAAAGTAGAGCGAGTTTTCTCTCTATATGTTAACAAATGTAAATTTTTTAAATAATTTTTTTTTTTTTAGCAACTGCAATTTCTGATTTTCTGTGTTTAGGACTGAGAGTATCCAGGGTCAGGGGACGCT